GATGATCCCTGGAGTGCTCTGCCATCCCTGCCCCCCAGGGCACGCTGAGACAGTGACTGAGACTGGGAGTGGTGGCATTCTCCTATAATACCAGCACTTGGGAGGCTGAAAACAGGAGGATCACTCCAGTCCCATCTGTCTAGTGAGACCCTATAGACCCTGTACTAATTACATTGAAAAAAAAAAGAATTGTTCAAAAAAGAAAATCACGCAGGTCCATTGTTTGCAAGTCAGCTTTCTAACTGTAGATTGAGAAATTACAGACAGTATTAGAATAATAAGGAAGAAAGACAAACTAAAAAGGAACAAGCATATTCATATATGGTACAGGGACAAGCAAAGATCTTCCTTCTTTTTATGATCTGCTGTTTTGGGTCATGGTGGCTGGTTGGTACGTTTGGCCCAAAATTTAAGGCTGTAAAAGAGACAAACTATAAAAACAAAAATGTCAAACCTTTTCATCTTTCCCCAGTTACTCTACTGAAAATCTCAGACCCAAGTGAAAAGTCAATGTTTGCAGCAAAAGCACACTTCAAGTCCCTGAAAAGTAACCTAGACAACTGATACAGGGAACCTCCAAATGACACAAGGAAAAAAACTGATCTCCCAACCTAAAAGGTACCTGGGATGAGTTCATGTTCTCTAAAACCAAAGAGTGAATTTTAGAAACAAATGGAGGTTTCGAGAATGTATTTGAGGGGGAAAAAAAGCTCCTGTCTGAGAGAGGGACAGAAGGGTGAGTCCTGAGTGGTCGGTCCCTGGAAGGTGTCTCTTCCAAGAACTTTTATAGAGGAAAACCATGTGGTGAGGTGGGTCTAAAGTGGTGAACACGGGAACTTGCTTAGCTGGGAATGAGGTGGGACAAAACTATGGTCAACCAATGACATTGCAAGCACCACTGCTCAGGTAAAAACTGATCAAATCCAGTACCAAATGGGGAAATGAGTCACGTAGCAGGTGGGCATAAATACAGGACAGGGTCTCTTCCCATTGGGGGTTAGGTTAGTGACTCATTTGGGCTCTTTCAAGGTGATTGATACCTATTTAGAATATCAATCTCTGATGCCCATCCCTGCATAAGTACATAGCTGTATTTGTTTCCTCTTTTATCTTGAGGTATGGACCATATGAGAGTGTCTGTCTCTTCCAAATTGCAAAGTCACCTTATCTTCCATCTTGTCTCCTTAAGGACCTGGCCCTGACTGCCTACAATATTTCTATCTAATTCAGCTTCCTACAACACAACTATTGCTATAAGGGAATGAAACTCCCAACCTGAAGGAACCTGGGCCGAATTCATGTTCTCTAAAACCAAAGAATGGATTTTAGGAACAATAGAGGTTAAGAGCAGAATATATTTACTGAAAGAAAGCTTCAGTCTGAGACAGAAAGGGTACCCAAGTGTGTTACCCTGGGAATCTGCTGTCTCTAGTGATTTTTATACAGCAAGGGGCAGGGGAGATGGCTCAGTGGAATAAGTGCTTCACCATGTGGTGAAGTGAGTCTAAGGTGGAAAACATGGAAACTTGCACATGAGGTAGAACAGAACTACAGTAAACCAGTAAGATTACAAGTATAATTGCTCAGATAAAATTAATTAGATTGGGATCAAATGCGGAAGCAAGTCACATAGCAAGGGGACATGAATACGGAACAGGGGCTCTTCCTGTTGGGGGTTGGGTTAGTGACTATTTCTGGCTCTTTCAAGGTAACTGTTACCTATTTAGAATATCAACCCCTGATGCCCATGCCTATGGAAGTATGTGGCTGCATTTGTTTACTTTTTTGTCTTGAGGTCTGGCCCACAGAGGGAGTGTCTGTTTCTTCCTAAATTGCAAGGTCACCTTGTCTTTCATATTATCTCCTTGAGGGCATAGCCCTGTCTGACTGCCTATAATATTTCTTTTAATTTTTATTTTTGCTTATAACTCAGCTGCCTACACTATTACTGTCAATAACCCTCCAGAGGTGCTACCTATAGCAAAGCTAGTAGGAGACTAATGATGCATTGCTTAGCTATGTGATCTCCAAACTTGGTAATTTTTTATAATTATTTATTTATTGTACAGGGGCTTGCTACACAGCTTGGTCTCATAATGATCCCCCTGGCTCAGGCTCCCCAGTGCTGTGATTACAGGCATGCACCACCATACCTGGTTTCGGTGGCTGGCATCGCGTGCCTGGAGTTCCAGGGCCAGCATGGCAGGGGGTACCAGGGATTGAACCAGGATCATTGAGCTTACCAGGCAGGCATTTAAACCACTGAGCTATCTCCCCAGCTTCAAATTTGGTAATTTTTAAGTCAACTAAGAACAAATAAAAGTAGAAGCTTTATTTAGGTTTTTCTTGGTTAATACAATTTTATTTTCCTCTGGCTTCATGTATTCTCTTGGAGATTGAAAATTTTTCTCATTTAAGGTAAACCCCAGAGTAATCATGTTGCTTCATGAGTACTTATACAAATGAATATATATTTTATACAATAGTTAATGGTACTTTAAACTTTAAACAGTAATTTTTTATCATTTATTTATTTTTAGAGTTTTGCTATGCAGTTCAGGCTGACCTTAAACTCATTTTGTAGACCAGGGTGGCCCCAAGTGCACAATGATCCTCCTGCCTCAGCCTCCCAAGTGCTGGGATTACAGGCCTGCATCACCAAACCTGTCTAAATAGTAATTCTTTAAAGGAGATGTTTAATGATATTGTTGTAGGCAGCCAAGTTAGATAGAAATATTATAGGCAGTCAGATAGGGTCAGGCCCTCAAGGAGACAAGATGGAAGACAAAGTGACTTTGCAACTTGGAAGAGACAGACACTCTTATGGGCCACACCTCAAGACCAAGACAAAAAGAGGAAGCACAGCTACATACTTCCCTAGGGATGGGCATTAGGGATTGATATCCTAAATATTATCAATCAACTTGAAAGAGCCCAAATGAGTCACTAGCCCAACCCCCAACAGGAAGAGACCCTGTTCCTATTCATGCATGCTCACTATGTGACTCGCTTTCCCATTTGATACTGGATTTAATCAATTTTACCTGAGCAATGGTGCTTGTAATCTCATTGGTTGACCATAGTTTTGTCCTACCTCATGCCCAACTAAGCAAGTTCCCATGTCTTCTCCACCACCTTAGACCCGCCTCACCACATGGTTTTCCTCTATAAAAGTCCCTGCAAGAGACAACTTGGGGGGGGACATACCTGCTCGGTGCCCCCCCCCCTCCTGTCCCTCTCTTGGGACAAGAGCTTTCTTTAATAAATATATTCTGCTCATAACCTCCATTTGTTCCTAAAATTCATTCTTCGGTTTTAGAGAACACGAACTCATGCAGGTCAGGTTCAGAGATCGTTTTTCTCTGTCATTTGGAGGTTCCCTATATTGTTTGGAGGTCATCCACCTGAGACCAGTTTTTCTCCCTGTATCAATATGAAAATTAATGGCAGGGAGTTTTGTGAATAAGCCTGTAGAACAAAGAAATGATCAAAAAGTCAGGTGAGGGGTCGGGGAGATGGCTCAGTAGAATAAGCACTTGCCTGGTAAATGCAATTCCGGTTCCAAAAAAAAAAAAAAAAAAAGTCAGGTGAGGTAGTTGGAAGCATTTCCTAGAGTTGTTTCTATCCCTGGGGAAGTGGACTTTCCATCTAAGCCAAAGTCTCTTTACTTTTGGCCACTGTGGTCATACTCTCCCTTACCTCTTACCTAGTTCCTCCACCAGCCACGACAACCTCATGGCCACAGGGTACTGGTAGCATTGCACTACCACTCATCCCTGAGTGATTGCACTGTACACCATGCCTCAAATGAAACCTTCAATGTTAGGCCAGAAAAGCTTCTTCAACTGTTCACTATTTGGCATTAAAATCAAAATGCACAAAAGAAGCCTTTAGAAGCTGTGTCCACAGCCTGCCTACTGGTTAAGATGAACAACAGCCAGGAGTGGTAGTGCACGCTGTAAAGGGTTAACAGAGTTTTGTGCCTTAACTGAAAAATTATAAAAACCCCTTGTGCTTCCTGTTATCTACTCTAAGAAATATATTCTCCCTTTCGGCTCAAGGTTGTTCAACAATAAATGTTTCTTGTCAAGGCAACAAGCTAACACAAACTCCCTCCCAACCATCTCCTGTAAAGTAGTCAGCTTAAGATATATCTTATAAAAATATACACTTATCACTAAGCTGTAAAAGACCTTTTAGTTATAAACAATTTGCAACTGTGTCAAATGAATGTAGTTTCTGTTGTCCTGTGCTAGATGACAAATTTGCTTACCAAACTGGATGTGATTTCTGTTATAAACACCCCCCTGCTACTTAGGTTCAGGGCTGATCAGCCTTCTCCTGGTGAGAAGTGGCTGAGGGACCTGAGCTCAATAAAAAAAAAGGCTCTATTCAAATTTCTATCTGGCTGATCTGGTTCCTATGCAGAGTTGACCCATAAAAAGCCTGTAATCCCAGCACTCAGGGGGCTGAAGCAAAAGGACTGCTGTATGCTGGAGGCCAGCTTGAGCTATAAAACCAGTTCAAGGCCAGTTTGAACTGCATAAGGAAATTCTCTCAGAAAGACAAAAAGAAAAAATACAGGAGGGCACACCCTGCACAAACCTGGTCCCCTGGTATGGATGAGAAGCCCAGTGGGCCTCAGTTCACCCTGAAGCACGATGGCAGGCTACTTATACACGAGGAAGATATGCCAACAAGGAGAAGAAGAGCGTTTTGCGCCAACGGACCCAGAGACGACCAAACGGTCTGAACAGCGAGCTAGGCGACTTAGGCCAAGGACCACATCGACCTAACCCAAGATGGCGCCGGAGACGGTCACCAGGCGCGCGCGAGGAGAGTACCCTGATCCAAGATGGCGGCGACGACCGCGACAAGCCGAGGGGCGGGAGCACCAGAAGCGTCTTTGCCCTCACCCAAGATGGCGGACCCGTGGGCGGTGTCCCGACTCCGCCCGCGGCCCGCCCCGCCTCTCTCGCGTCCCTCCCTCCGCCCCCTCGTCGGGCCAAGTCCGGCGGGTCGTGCTCGCGGAGGGAGAGCGGGTTGCGGGCACTCGACATGGCGGCAGCGGCGGCCGCTGCAGCGACTAAAGGAAATGGGGGTGGCGGGGGCCGGGCTGGGCCCAGCGAAGGCAGTGGCACGCGGAAGAAGAAGGGCCCGGGGCCTCTGGCCACGGCGTACCTGGTCATCTACAATGTGGTGATGACAGCGGGGTGAGGCTGGGGCTCGGAAGTGGGGAGGGCGCTCTGCGGCCGGCGCGCGGAACCCGCCTGCCTGCGTGCCTGCGGGCGGCCGGCTTCCCCAGCCCGGCGGAGATGGGGCTGTGAGGGCGCTGGAGGCCTCGCGAGCCGCTCCGCCCGGCCACAGGTGCGGTGCGGTGCGGAGCGGCGCGGAACGGAGCAGTGCGGCGCGGCCCGGTGGGCGCCCGCGCGAGCTGTCCAGCCCCGGGGAGAGCGGGCGGCGTGGCCATTCGTTTAGGCGGCTGTTTTCGAAATCCCGGCTGAGCTTAAATCCGAACGGTCTAGGAAGACGTTCAAAGTTTTGGGCCAGCAACAAGAGCTTCCGTTGAGTTTAGTTTTCGGGTTGGATTGGGGCTGGGGTGGGGCAAAAAGCAGCGAGTGGGAGGGGGCGTTCCTGGGAGTGGGGGAGAGACCCTCCAAACTGTTTCGCTCCTTCTCCCTCAGTTCAGCTTTGCCCTCTGGCTGCAGGGTTTTAGCAGTAGTTGTGACACTAACTGGCCTTGCGACTGCATACATTGGCTGCTTTCTCCGGGCCTCCGTTTTTTTCATCTGTAAGAACTGAGGAGTTGGGCTAATTTCCAAGGTTCTTCCTGCTCTGTAATTCTTTGTGGGTTTTTCTTTTTTCTTTTTTTTTTTTTTTGATACTTCTTTGATCTTATGTTTTGTGGAGGAAGTTCACAGGATCAGTCCATTTGTCGTGAATTGATGAAATGTATCTATTTGTAAAAATAATTTCCCTAACATTTTATTACGAAAATTCAAACACGCAAAAGTTTAGAGCACTCTAAAATGACCATCCAGTTTTAATTTATTTTTAAGGTAATGCAATGGCAAAATTCAAAGTCTTACAGTGGAAAATCTTCTATCCATTCCAGCCAGACCCCCTTGTGTGACCTAGGATACTGACAAGTACATGCTAAAATATATGTAATATTATATATATTTATACAAATGCTGATACATTTAAATAGTTAAGCACCTTGCCTTTTTCATGAAAAAATTCTGTGAGGCACATGGACTTACTGCTTGTATTAGAAATCGTTGGTGTTGAAATGGCTCAGAGAAGTTGTGATTTGCTTGACTTGCTTGAGGTCATACAGCCTGTTAAGTAGACATTCTGAGTCTGGAACCTATTTCTCTTGACTCAAAGGTTAGTGAAGACACAGACTCAAGTTTTCTGTCACATAAGTGGTTACACAGATTAATATTTTTTTAAAGAACTTTCGAGAAGCTATGTGTTTGAATATAAAATTGTTATCCTAACAAGGGCATTGATAAGCACATTGCACTGGAATGGATTTTAAGGTACAGTGGGGAAGAAGTATTAGTTCTAATGAACAGAGAATGAAGTAGAGGATAAGGAGTACTGTCTGAAACCAGGAAGATAATTTGGGATTGTGTATAAAATAATGCTCTAATTTACTGCTAGTAAATTAAAGCAATAATATAGTCCCCTAAGACTGGACCAGTTATACTGTTAACGAATTTATTTCTATTTTGTTTTTGTTTCTGAACTCTTGTTTGCTATTTCTATGATAGCTTGTAGAAATAACATTAACCACATACACCATTGCCGCGTTATGATTATACATCAGGTAAATCTACGACTGTATTTGAGAGACACATCTTAGTTGTAGAAGACATTATAGAATTTAATAAACATGACATAGCCTAGTATTTCTTCATTCTTTTCTCTTTTTTTTTGAGACAGGATCTCACTGTAGTTCACGATGGTTTTGAGCCCATGATGTAGTGCAGCCTGGCCTTGAACTGATGGCGAACTTCCTACCTCAGCCTCTCTGGTGTTGGCATTAGAGGTGTTTGCCAATGTACCTGGCTATAGCCTAGTATCTCTAAGAAAAGCAAAAAGATAGCATTCATAGCTTTATACCTGAGTGCTTCCTTGTTCTGCGTTTTTTTTAAATCAATAAACCTATTGATTTGTGTTTCCTGAATAATCTTGGGAAATTAAGCTAAAACACTTTATTTTTATTTATTTATTTATTTATTTATTTTCAGAACCAGGGATTGAACTCAGGCCCTTGAGTTTGCCAGGCAAGCGCTTATTCTACTGAGCCATCTCCCCGCTCCCAAAACTTTATTCTTTTAAAGAAAGCTTGCAGTTTTAAAAGAAATGTTAAGGTATATATGCAAGCATAAGACACATAAAGATAGCTTAAAACATTTTGGGGGGTTTGTTTTTTGGTCTTTCTGAGACATGGTCTCACTATGCAGTTCAGGCTGGCCTTGAACTCACTTTGTAGTCCAGGCTGGCCAGGTTCCACCACCTCCCCACAGCTCCCACATGGGCCTTTCAGGAGCACATCAGATCCAAACTATAACACTTCAGGATCACCAGTTTTTTGTTTTTTTGTTTTTTTTTTAAAATTTTATTTATGTATAACACTTCAGGATAACTAGTTCTTTTTTTTTTTTTTTTAATTTTATTTATGTGTGTGTGGCCAGCTCAGCCCACCAGGGGGCGGGGCTGCTGGCATGTGGTGCTGAGGGATTGAACCGAGTTCCCTGTGCTTTTGCTAAGCTTGTTCTAAGTAGGTGCTTTAGACCACTGAGCCATCTCACTAGCCCAAGATCGCTAGTTCTTGAAGTCGCCTTTAGCATGATGTTATTGCCACCTCTTTCTATTACCTCAAGTCCTATTTATCTTTCTCCCCCCCTGATTGCTCTTTTCTCTTTTAATTAGGTGGCTGGTGATAGCAGTTGGTCTGGTCAGAGCATATCTGGCTAAAGGGAGCTACCATAGCCTTTATTATTCAATAGAAAAGCCTTTGAAGTTCTTCCAAACTGGAGCCTTACTGGAGGTAGGTTTGAGATTTGCTATCTCAGTTATTACCAACTAGAAAACATGCTACTGGATTCTATTGAAGTGGCCATATCTTTGCTAGATTTTAAGTTTTGAAATTTTGTCTCAGCAAAATTCCTCTTCCTCTTGTATCTTTTTTATATTCTAGATAAGAAAATTCTGTTTAACTTATTGCTCATAATATACATGCAGCTTTTATTGGAAATCAAGTGATACCAGTTTGCATTAGGGCTTTAAAAATCCTAGGACTATCATAGGGGAGTGTTGGACACACTCAGATTCTTTCAGACTTCCTGTAATGGAAAGTATAGCTGATGAGAATAGAGCATTAGGAGTGACATATATGGTAGCAGAACCAATCTGAAGGCATCCAAATGAAAGAAAATACATTTTTTAAAATCGTAAGTTATAAAGGGTAATACAGATGTTGGCAGACTCGGGCTTTCAAGGGCCATACAATGAAACCAGTGCAGTTGGCAGATGTATATATCTCATCCTATCTTCAGAGGTGAATATAGATCAGGATTCCCCCCCCCCCAACCGGGAATTGAGCTCAGGCCCTTGCGCTTGCCAGGGAAGCGCTTATTCCACTGAGCCATCTCCCCAACCCCTAGATCAGGATTTTTGAGTTGCAGCTTTAAGCAGAAAAAGAATTTACTGGTTTCTGTAGCTGATAAAATTTGAAGGTTAACTTACAAGATGAAAGGAACCAAGGACTTGACATTGCCATTCCTCCCATCTTTCACCTCTGCTGATCTGTTTCTTGGCATTTGGGTTGGCCTTCTTTACAACAGTTACTGTTGCAGTGATCTTGCTAGTGACGTGAGATTCTTGATCTTAGGCTTAGGGTACATGGCTCCTCTTCCCATGAAGGAACTGTCTGTTTAGTTGATGGAAAAGGAGGACTGGAGGTTATTTTTGGACACACAAAATCAATAGCTGCTATAATTCGTTGTGGTGAAAAAAAATTTGGTGTTTCAGGGAAGAGCTGGTATTCAGTTTCACTTTCCTTCGCCTCCTGGGACAGTCCATCATTTATCTGTACCTTTTATCCTCACTTTCAAAAGCAGAAAATTCTGAATTTGAGAGTTTTTTCTATGTGGCAAAAGGATTTAAATGCTGTTGATGTTAATGTTAATTTTAGGTAGGTGATAGAATGAAATGAGCTTCCATTTGGGAGCCTGAGTACACATTTCTAATGATGCTGCCTTTACCAACTTTATGAATTTGGGTGAGTCTTTCATCTCTTCTCCATCTTCTTCATTTGTGAAAAATCAGGATAAAGCACATTTCTAAATTCCCTTCCTGCCCGAACAGTGAGTCTAAGGAAACTAGCAACTTCCAGTGAGCAATTTCCAAGCCATTTAGAGGCTTGGATTTTTTTGGAAGGGACAGTGATAAGTGTATAGCACTTTGTGTCTTAGAGGTTTGGGCACACAATCCCTCAAGCTTCAGAGATGCAAACTTGGGGTCATGACCATCAGATACTTGCTCAGTGCTTCAGCTGTAATTTCAAATGGGTTCTATGTCTCTAAGACCTTGTAATATTAAAAATGCAATTTAAAACTTTCAAGTGTGTTTTAGGGAAGGTAGGAACATGAAGCGGTATGATGCACAATCCACTTGGGAGTTAAGTTGTTAGACTTCAAAGAATTAGTCTGTTCACCCCCATTGAATTTGTCATAGGGATTTAAGAAAATATTTTGGATTTTTGGTTTTGTCTCTGTAGTTCCCCTCTAAGAAGCAATTAGGTAATAATCCTGGATTTGATTTTTGGGGGACAAATAGTATATAAACGAAGACTCCCAGGAGCATGCAGGAAATTAACATTGCAGAGCTCAGAAATGGTGGAACCCCTCTGACTGGGTGGTAGAGCAGGTTAAAGAGTGTTTTTTCAACCTGCATTGTGTAATCAGCAGATATGTGTGGTGTTGGTTAATTACACAGAAATTATCCTTGTGGGAATCATTAGTACTTGACAGTACATTCTGTTTACAGGAGGAGAAAATGAATCCAGGGAGGTCAGCTATTCATTTTTGTCTCTGTGGTGATGTTACTCTTTAGTAAGTTCTGTAGGAGTTGACCTACAAAGGAAATGGAAGATACTTGTTCTCAAAAAATTCATATCTTCTTAGAAAAGTGTAACCCTTTTTTTTTTTTACTTTTTTTTTTTTTTTTGCAGAACAGAGGATTGAACTCAGGCCCTTGAGCTTGCCAGGCAAGCACTTATTCTACTGAGCTATCTCCCTAGCCCACGTTTCTTTTTAAAAGACTTTAAAACAAGCATAAATAGACATGTATATACAAAATAATTTTCAGAGTACTTCACATGATTTTTTGCAAAATGGATGATACATTAATTTGGTGATACAATGAAACAGACTTTTAATAAAATAGACACAAATCTTAATTATTTTTACTACTTCCTGAAGAATGTCTTGAGTATTATTTATGGATTATTTCCCAAATTATCTTATAGGGAGTCAGTAAGTATATGTTTGATAACAAGTGTGGTGGGAGATTGAGTCCTTCCTAAAAAGAAGCTTAACATTGTGTTAAGTATGTGATTATACTGGGACTACTGGGCAGAGATAACAGATACCTTCTCAGCTGACTTAAATAGTAGGAGTATTTATGGTAAGTGCATAGGGTATGCAATGGGATCCAGGGGCAGGGCTGCATGTGGCCTTCAGAATGGGCCAGCACCACGGACCACAGCACTATACAGAACCCTGTGTTCCATCTCTTGTATTCATACTCTCTTCCTCTCCCTCTCCTTCCTCTCCTTGCGCGCCCCTCCCATTTCTTTCTTCAAAATAGATTTCTCAGTTTCTCAGTCCATGTGGCAGTTAATCATAGTAGCCAAATCTCCTGAAGTCACAGGTTCTTTAGTCAAAAGAGCAGTAATTAGAAACAGAATTTTAGTCCCAGTTCTGCATCCACAGTGAGGGACTAGTTGGTCCCACTAGAATTCAGTACATATTCCTGGGCTTGTCACCTATAGAAAGGAGCAGGTTCAAAGACACAATATAGGGTAGAAGAGACAAGAATGTTTTTATAGAAAGGATGATAGACCTGGGAGTGGTGGTGCATACCTGTAATCCCAGCACTCAGGAGGCTAAACCAGGGGGCATTGGGCATTTGAGACCAGCCTGGGCTACAAGGTGAGCTCAAGGCCAGCCTGAACTGTGTAGGGAGACCCTGTCTTAAAAAGACACAAAAACAAAAGTCATGCTAGGTAGTAAACCCAAGAAATACCAAAGCACTCACAAGACATACAATGTGGCGAAGATTATGATATAGATATAGATTTTTTTTTCTCATTAGTTTTTGGTTTGAGTTAGGGTCTCTCTGGGTTGCCCAGGCATGTGTGGAACTTCTGGGCTCAAGTGATCCTCCCACATTAGCCTCCTCAGTAGTTAGGACTGTCCTACAGATGCGTGGCATCACGCCTAGCTATATGTGATTTATACATTGAGCTAAGTACAATGTTGAAGGCAGTGTTGTGGGATAAGAGGTCAATGTCTGTGAAAGCAGGAGGATCACTATGATTCTGATCTGAGTAGTGAGACCCTATACCAAATACACAAATGAAAAAAGAAAAAGATCAGTGTCTGAATAATATGTTCTGTCTCAAATTGAATCTCGAGTAATCCTGAGCACTAATTTACTTAGATATAATCATAGATAAAATATGTATTTATACTATAAATATTAATTAACTATTGAGACATGTTATACTAGGATAAACTTTGAAAGCAAGCTGGAAGAAGTAAGACACAGTCACAAATTATATGATTTCATTGAATGAAATGTCCAAAATAGACAAATCCATCGAGACAGAAGGTAGATCAGTGATCGCCAGGGATGCTGGAGAGGAGAGAATGGAGTAACTGCTGGTGGGTGCATGACTTTTTAATTTTTTTTTTTTTTTTTTTGGTAGAACCGGGGGTTGAACTCAGGCCCTTGCGCTTGCCAAGGAAGCACTTATACTACTGAGCCATCTCCCCGGCCCCGACTTCTTTTTTAAGGTGATGAGAATGTTCTTGAGATAAATAGTGTTGATCATTGAAAAATATTAAAAATAACACTATTACATATCTTGGAATATAAATTTGGTATCATGTGAATTATATCAGGTTTTTTGTAAAAAATGCTATGTCAGTGGTAGCAGACCGAAGGCACACGCACCCCAACAGGCTGTTTATTATTGTTGAAAGCTAAAAGGTCCATCATCTCTGATCTACACAGTAATGAGGGATGGGTCTTGTCTTTTTGCCTCATTCTGTTTTTAGATACATGATACTAATTTATAAGGTGGTCTCTTCCAATTTTAAGTAGAAATTGCTAATTAGTAGATTAAAGCTATAGTATGGCAATTTAAAATGATTTCAGAGTAAATTTGGATTTCTGAGTATCTTTGTTTTAACATAAGAATGTAATTGTAGCAAAAACACATTCAAATATTTGTAGTTAGCTGCCTCTGGGACTGGCGGTGGGGATTCAGATGGGTGAAGGTAGCTCTGCAAAGACTGCTGGTACTGACACAGACCATCTTCAGCCTCTGTGTACCAGTGTGGTCAAAAAATACCTGCCTTGACTGCAAACACATTTCTTTCACCATTCTAGTTACTCTGAAGCAGTTCAAGAAGGTCTCATTTGTGAGTGTATTTAATTGTGTTGTCACGGCTGCCTCATTGTCCTGAATTGATACAAACCACTTATCTTCCATAGTAATTTTTTACTGTGGGGAAGAGCTGTGTAAGTTGCACGGAGCCAGATCTAGAATTGGTGGTAGCACTCACGATTTTTTGATCACCACCTTTAAAGACTCGTGAAACAAGGCTTCCACTGCTTCAGAAAATGATGGGATAAGTATATGTTTGAAATGAGGGGAAATATTGAGGGAGATCACTGACACTGTGTGTTTACTAGACTATTAAAATTTAAGCACTCATCATATATTTTGATGGTCTGCCTACCACTTTCTATCCAGGA